GTTGCGGCGAACCTTGGCGGAGGAGACACTTTGCTTGAGCCGAGTCAGGAGAGTGGTGATACCGATCTATGTGACGGATGGTGTCGCAGTCAGCACAAGGAATAAACTTAGAGCGACAGCTGTGGTTCGAATCTCATACATCCGAATAAATGACTTTATCCATTCTAGCCTTCAATTCCTCCGTCATCGGGGGCGGGCCCGAACGTAGGTCGTTAGCCGCGGAGTGGCCGGCAGAGCCAGCACTGGATGGCGGCGCATCGGGGTCGAGCCCGGAGCTGTGAGGTCCAGAAACGTCTGCCATGGGATAGGATACAGTAGGGTGATTACAAGTTGAGAAGATGGGGTCGCATTGAGGCAGCAATGCAGAACAGATATGTGTATGTATGTATGTTTGAATGTATGAATGTATGAAGTTTGGGGGGATGATTTGCGGAAGCCTAACTAATTATCAGGAGCAAGTCACACACAGCACACTCACTGCCACTCAGGCATCATCATGACCCGATCGGGGCAAGGCGGCGGGTGGGGGAGGCTGAGCCAGTGTGGCTTGCAAGTGGGCTGGGATCCCGGAAAGGGTTTAGTGCGGGTGGCCGGTGCTTTTCTCCTGCCAGGCACGTTCCTCCTTACAGTCAGTCCTGGACAGGCTGAAACTCTCAACTGTGAACTTTCAGGGAGTAAACTTACTATGTAAATTATGTACGGAGTCTAAGTCATAACTTTAAGTCTCTTGACTTGTGCTGGACTGCTGAAGCTCCGAGTTTGTCCCGACCCTATCCCGGTTCCACCCAGTGCACCGTACAGTACAATTCTAGAAGGTTTCAACTTTCAACGGCCTGGACGGCCTTAGTAAGGCTGTTGAATTTAGGATTTCTCAACATCGCAATTAGGAACGGAGTTAAAGAGAGGGCGATGACAAATGCGGCCCATGTACCGAGGCAGATTGTAAGCAATTCGAATACTCTGGTCTAAGAATTGGGGATCCTCGGTGGGTCAACAATGTGTATATAAGCTTGTATCTTGCCAGACATACTGAAAAACACTAAATCCTCAAACCTACTTACCAAAACCACGAGATCTTTTAGAATCACCAGTGTCAATATCCTTCCGGCACAGCTACCGAATCACCAATAGAATGGCTTCCACCGAAGTGAATGTTACGGTCTTCGCCTATCCTCAACCCGACAAGATCGATGAGGTAAGTGACCCTCTCTCTCCTCTCTCTCTCTCTCTCTCTTATATCACTCTGCGCGCGCCTTCTATCAAGTGGCATGCCTCCCCCCTGACATGACATAAGGTTGCAACCCTTTGGAGCGAGCTTTCACGCCAAGTGCAGGCCAACGAGCCCGACACGCTGTTCTACTATGCCTATGTCAATCAAGATCGAAATGCTATTGTGGTCGTCGAGAGGTATCTCTTTCTTCCGTCCCATTACCTTACCTGCTCTTGTGTGATAGGAACCTGGAACTAAGACTACTATCATCATGCAGATACCGTAACCAAGAAGCCCTAGTGAAGCACAGTCAAACGCCCTACTATCAGGAGTTCATGGCTAAGGCCGGGGGTCTGATGGCCAAGCCTCTTGAGATCCAGCGGGGTGGTGGTCCATTGCCCGAGTCAACCAAGATTTCCCGGCTGTAGATGGAAGGGATGGGATGGACCCTAATCTCGAGAACCTCTGTACATTAAAGAAGTATATTCGGTAATTCTGAGCTGTCTATATCGCTAAGTTAATCAACATGACCTCACTCTGTACTCCACATTGATAGTCCCGAATCGGATGGTGGCTAGGTCTGGTGTAGGCGAGCTAACGATGCGAGGGAAAATCTAGAGGTTGGTACTTCTGGCTACTGACTATAAAGTAGGTAGTTTAAGGTATAGCTGAGGAACCTTGAACAGGTTACTCCGTACCTACTCCGTACTAGGTAAGGTATCGGTTCACATGTATGTAGACGCTTGCAGACAAGGAGCTAAGCTACATGACTTCGTCTTCTGTACTTCGTACTTCGAGTCGGCATTCGATCGGGACGCTAATCGAGCTATCCCCGTCATTGCAGCGTACATATCCAGAGCCGATGCTTAATGATCTAATATTAGACGGAAGGATGGCGGTCTGCGCCTGGTGCTGCAGGAGGACCGAACTAGGCGATGATGTATAGTCAAGGACCTTTGTTGTTCATTTCTTATTCATTTCTTGGCTTGTGGTCCGTGAGCCATGTCGATATAACCAGTCATAGGGTCAAGGGTACTGCTGCGTATGCTGTATGGTCGGTTACAACAAAATGAAGATCAAGTGTATTTGACAGCTGGGAAGAGACAGAGAAGGAACCGAAGATAGCTGGACCCCTGAACCGGCAAAGGGTGCAAGCGCCGTCCCTTGGATCCCAACGGGACCATCCATTCAATTCCAGAGACTGCGTCTTTTGACGGAGGAGAAAATCATGGCTGTCGACAAGAGAAGAGGCTGATATTGGATACATGCGTGTGATTGGTGTTGGCTTCCCAGCCATCGCGAGTATCTCGTCCAATTCCAGCTTCATGATGATTCCAGTCGTAGGATGGATTGGATCAATCCCAACCGACTAATTTGACTAGTCAGTCGTCGCCTACCCATGGCTGGCAGGCTGGCAGGCTGGTTGTTGTTCTTCTTTCTTCTCTTATTCTCGCTCTATCTCGATTCTCGTGGGGGACAATTACACCCAGTGCCAGCATCGAACATCAAGCACCAACATCAAGCATTGAAGCATTCAAGCATCTATTGATCAATAGTCTCATTGTTCAAGGAGTGACTGCTTCGCCTGCTTGTTTGCTTTAGTGTATTCATCCGTCTGTTGGAAGTTCTGCCTCAGTTCTGACGTGAGTCTCTCTCTCTCTCTCTCTCTCTCTCTCTCTCTCTCTCTCTATCTCTTCAGTATCGTGCTATCGGTTGTTGTTCTTGTTTCCCCTCTTCTTTGAAGGTTTTGTCTTCCTCTTTCTTCTTCTTCTTCTTCTTCTTCTTCTTCTCCTCCCCCCCATTCCTATTATCCACTTCATCCACTAAACCAAATCCGAATTGATTGATCGATCAATTCCCCCCCCCTCCCCCCCTCCTCTCTCCCCTCCTCAATCGACTCCCTCACTCTTACTTTACATTTCTCACCCGCTGATTCACACCTCTCTTTATTTCAATCACCTCCTCTCCGCCTCCCTCCCTCCCTCCCTCCCTCCACCACCTCCACCACCACCACCTGTTTTGCAATCTTCTTTCCTAATCCTTCTATTTTCATCCTTCCATTTGGATCTTTTCCTTTTTCTTTTATTTGCCTGCCATTGTCCCTTCTTACTTTATCTGCTTAATTTCCTGTCCCGCACCTTTGGCAGTGTATTTGTGTCTTGTGTGTTGTGCCGCCGTTATCTCCGTTGTGCATTGCGAATCCTCCCTGACCGGTTCGATTTGCCTTTCGGTCTTCAGCAGATACCCGCGCTACTTGGTTACACGTCCGCCCGTTAAGCCACGACGCAACCCACTCCCCCCGTTGACCCCTTTGAATCCTCGAGCTTCCCGTGGAGTCGAACTCGCCAGTACTATCGATCTGTCGTGACCGTCGCAACCGTGTCTGTTTTTGTGTTCATATACCCTCTAGAATTATAAGCGAAGATGGCAACAGGACCTGCGACTCAATCCCTGAAGGTCAGCTCCTGCCAGCGACATCCACCATATTACTCAAGCTAATCGTTGAGTGCTGGGTTACAGTGTGTGGTAACAGGTGACGGTGCTGTTGGAAAAGTACGTGGTTTTCCTCAGTTCCCACTTCTGCTGGGTAACTTCTGCTGGTCATCCATTGCTGACGCAGCTGCCAGACATGTCTCCTGATTTCGTACACAACCAACGCCTTCCCCGGTGAATATATACCTACCGTGTCCGTGATCCCGCTCTTTTGGAGGCTCTCGTCTGATACGAATGCCCTGTTAACCCGGCCCACAGATTCGACAACTATACTGCCAGTGTAATGGTAGATGGCAGACCGATCAGCTTAGGACTTTGGGATACTGCTGGACAGGAAGATTACGATCGTCTTCGCCCGCTGTCCTACCCGCAAACCGATGTTTTCCTGATTTGTTTCTCCATTGTTAGCCCTCCCTCGTTCGATAACGTGAGAGCCAAGGTACTTTACCCCTGAGAGGCTATGCTCGCCTGCCCCAAAGTCGCATGTCGAATATCTGGACTGATCCTCCTGTAGTGGTTCCCCGAAATTGAACATCATGCTCCCAACGTACCCATCATTCTTGTCGGTACCAAGCTCGATCTGAGGGACGATCGGGCCACTCTAGAAACTTTGCGCCAGAGGAAGATGGAGCCCGTCTCCTATGAACAGGCTCTGGCCGTGGCCAAGGAAATCCGAGCACACAAGTACCTGGAGTGCTCCGCTCTCACACAGCGTAATCTGAAAAGTGTATTCGACGAGGCCATTCGGTATGTTGTTGTTGTTGTTGTTGTTTGCAAACTGCCCCCGCGCTAGTGTCTCAAGCTCTAACCAGCTACCCTCAGTGCTGTCCTCAACCCCCGGCCTACGGCGAAACCGAAGAACAAGAAATGTGTCATTCTGTAGATCGTCTCCCCCTCACTGCATCTTCCGACCTATAATATAAATAACTAATTCGGCGTCTGGGTTTTGGCTGTAACGCCCCGCATTTTGCTGGTTTTGGCTGGTTGTCCTCCCTCCCGTTCCTCGTTTTGGTGCCATGATCCTGAAGTCTTCTTTTCTCCATTTCATCCAGGTTCAGGATAACCTTACCCTCTGCGTCTTCTTCCCCCCCGTCCTAATGCAGTACAAAGATGTAACATGCCATTGCAATACCACTCTACAAGCGTCGTTTCTGAGTTGACCACAGCCTTCAGCGTCTTCCCTTCCTCACTATCGAAAAATTACAAGCCATGGGTGAGCGTACGAGTTTGGATTTGTGTGCAATGCGAAAGATAGTTGATAGTCAAGCCAGAGCCGTGTCATATACAAAATTGGTCTCTTCAAGTCTATGATCCTGCTTGACACTTTCCAAGTATGCACATAAGAAACAGAGAACAGAAGGATATCTTTCAAGCGAGCACAAAAAACACAGCATTTCTTTTCAAGGATTGGCCCAGGCTGATCTAGATGATCGCTATCCGGCGAGGAGTGGATCCTAAGCCATACGGTTTCTGCGACTGGGGTGGACGCCCGCAAAGGCATCTTCCCCGGTCTCCTCGGTGTGAGCTCTGCGCTCCTTCTCCTTGGTGATCTCCTTGGCATTCCGCTGTCTCTCTTCGAAAAGCTTCTTGTTCTTTGCCTCGATCTTCGATTTCCGGTATTCCGACTTGCCACCACCGCCGGCGCTGCAGTAAGTCAGCATTTCATCGCATCCTAACATTGTTCGGTGGCTTAGGGGCACTTACGTCAACTCCACATTGATCCGCCGCGGCGGGTACTTCTTGTCATCAAACATAGAGTGGTGGTAAAGCTTAAGACAGGTCTTCATGCGATCGTAGTTGTCGAACTCGATGAACCCAAAGCCACGACACTTGGTCGGCTTGTCCTTCTCGGTTGCGACGCGGACGGATACCGGCGTAATCTTCTCGAAATGCGCGGTCAAGGATTCGCGGTTAGCGGAGTAGGGAAGGTTGCCTGTCACAAATGTATGAGCGCACGTCGCCAGCAGCCATCATTATCTCAAGCATACCGACGAAGCAAATGAACCTGTTTCCCTTCTGGCTCGATTCCTCTGCTTGGGCGGACTCCTCCGCTGGAGCCTCAGCAGACGAGGTTTCTGTTTGGACGTTCGTGTCGTCCTTCTTGGCCTTCTTAGCCTTCTTGTCCTTCTTCTTTTCCTCCGCCTGGGGTTCCTGGACATCCACATCCATAGCCTCGGGTGCTTCCTTTTCTACCTCGTTGTTTTCGGCGGCCTCCACATCGTCACTGGGCTTTTCTTTCTTTTCTTTCTTTTCCTTCTTTTCCTTCTTTTCCTTCTTCTCATTCTTTTCCCTCTTCTCCTTCTTCTCCTTCTTCTCCTTCTTCTCCTTCTTCTCCTTCTTGTCCTTCTTCTCTACAGTAGCAGCCTTTTCAATTCCGACTTCCTCAACGACATCCTTGGCCTTGCACTTCTCCTTTTTCTCTTTCTTCTCGTCGCGCTTGGCCTTCTTGCCCTCGGGCTTCACAGCCTCCTCGGTGAGCTTGCGCTTCTTGTCGCTCATGTTGATCTGAGAGGGAATAGGAAGGGTTTGAACCAAAAAAAAATAGATTCGAGGTGAGTAATAGTTTGAACCGGAACGGGACCGATGCCAAAGATAGCCAAAAATCTCGGAAATTTCCTTTTTCTGCCGGGCGGAGATAGCTAGCGGTGAGACAAGCGGAGCGATAGATGTGTGATGCCTGAGGTGTCAGGATCGACCCATAGTTCCTCCGCTTCGGTCACAATTACCGGTTCCACATACATACATTGCTGCCTTATAAATGGACTGCTTTGTCCTTCTCCTCAAAGACGAGACACAAATTTGCTCCAACGATAAGGCCAAGTCCTTCTATCTGCATCCTAACATATGTCAATCAAGCTCTTCGTCTCAGTTAACACCAATGTAGATCTTCTCTGATGCAGTTGCTGCTTCCATCCGGTAGTTGGCGCATAGCCTGTCAAGTCAATTACAATCTTACCGACTCTCAGGGCATTGTGCTTGCATCAATTATGCTGGATATGAATCCCTAGCCGCTGTCGCTTGTCTCGAGGCTCGATCTCATCGGTTCACAGCTTGAAGCTACTATCAGGAGGTGGAAGATTGGATGAGACAGAATCTGGGAGCTGGAACAATGTCAGCATGCTTCCAACCGATTTGAAACCCTTGAAAATGATGCTATGCTTTAGATGAGGCTTCTGAGATGGGACTTTTGAAATTGCGGAAACCAAAAGCATATCAACTTCAAGACATGCCATCGTCCTTGAAGTCGAAGCTTGCCCGAAGACAGTGAGGACCCCATTCACAGATGCCGAAACGAACACATCAAAGGCCATACTTCAGTGTGTCTATCGGGTGCTTTATGAATGTTTTCAGCCCAGAAGTGATGGTGAAAGCAGCCATCCCAATACTACACTCTTTCAATCTCACTGTTCAAACAACGCGGTCAAGAGTAACAATTTAAAGCCTGTTGCTATAAAAAGGAATGACCAGGCGATCTTCATATGCATTGCGAACCAAATAAATCCAGGGTTTCTTTAATGGCCAAGGACATCATTGTCTCAATCCTTGTTCCACCGACATACAATACCCTTTGTTGCTATAATGCAGTTTTGTCTTGTTTTGGAGAAGATTCATATAAAATGCTTGTCAGGTCTAATCCATCTGCATTTACAAGCTTCGCTTCGTCGCAAACACCACCTTCACTGTTCTCTTCTTTTTCAATTATAGCAATGCTTGATGTCACATCTCTGCCTCCGGAACTAATCTGCATGATGGCTGATTATCTGAGTGCGGAGGACTTGCTCTCTCTCCGTGCTGTTTCTAAAGATATGAAAGCGTTGACAACCAAGGCTCTGGAGCCCGTATGGACTCGTTCACTACGCGTTATACGCACGGATTTCTCCAACCAGAGTCTCTCTCGGATTCATCGAATTGCGGAGAACGACGGATTGAGAGACTACGTTAGAATCATGAGGATTGAGCCACCCTTCGGTCCTCTAACCCCCCTTCATAGAGTGACTATGTATAACCTGATCAAGGATCCTACCTTGATTCCGAAAATCAAGACACTCAAGGATGACCTCGTGCACTCACTCAAAAACTGCAGGAGCTTTGAACTCTGCCTCAGCTGGAAGGAAGGTAACCTCACGTACCTAGACAGCGACGACGTTCTTAGCATCCTTTTCCACATTTTCGTCGAGGCTGAGTTCCCCGTGGAAAACCTGGCCTTGTACACTCACCGGTATACTGAGGAATCTCAGAGGCCCAAAAGAGCCCGTCCTTACACCCGAATGCACAAGCAGCCCAACCTTGCCCGTGCCTGGACTCAGCTCACTACCTTGCAGGTCACGCAGCCCTACTTCTTTCACCTCGCTAATTACCTCTACAGGATTCTGCCCCAAATCATACAAACTGCGCCTCGGCTCGAGCGACTGATCATCATTGGCAACGCCATCAGCGGCCAGTCCCGGGATCTTGTCTCACTGATCAAGAACGTTAAACCTCTGGCGGAGATCAAACATCTTGAGATCCATCGCTCTGGTATTGCTCTAGAGGACATTCAAGAGTGGTTGCAGTTGATCGGTGGCCATTTACTGTCGCTGACCTTCTCCGGGTGCTCCACAATCACGTCCGTGCCATGGGCTACGTTCCTCAGCTGCGTAAAGAATAATTGTCCCCGCTTGCAGGCTGTCACCATTGAAGATATGCTCGTGGGCCTTGAGTGCCTAACAGTACAGTATGACGGTGAGGGGTTGGCCGACGCGCTGGATGATGTGATGTGGAAGTTCGAGGAGGCGGATTGGTATTGATGACCTGTTTGTTGAGGTTATCTTTCACATACATATATACACTATCTATCCATCTATATATATAAGTTCTTAATTGATTTATCTCTCATATAAGAACTGTACAGTCGCAGTCACCTGGGACAGAATCACTGCACAGTTGGCATTGCAGCACCCAGAACTTAATACATATTATCAAGTGAAGAAAATAAGATTAGACCGCAGGACAAACGCCAACACCCTTTTCATGTATGTACAATCGCTTTTTCTAGAATACCATGATTTTGATTCCCTTCACCTTTGCACCGTAACGATCCTTGAACTCAGGCCGCGTGAGCAGCTGAAGCAAGGGGAGGTGCGTCTCCTTCATATCAAAGATGCCGCGCTGCTTCTGGTCAACGTAAGAGCCGTCGATGACAATGCGTTCCAGTTCGCCGAGTTTGAGCGACCCTAGAATAAATTAGAATTGTCCTAACGTTTGGAAAGCAGGAGTAATGAGGTCGTACCTGAATCGATCAAGTCCGAGATGCGGGCTGGGGTACCGGCTCCGATGCCCATGCTATAAGCGGCAATTAGTTGGTCTGTCTGTGGTTGATAATACGATAGATTGGAAGAGTCACATACCGTGCCCGCTCCAAAAACTGCTTGGCTTCTTCCAGCTTGATGTGCTTAGCGAACAACTTGCCAACGATGGATTCCTTGTGCTGGAATGAGCGGAGGGCTCGGACGACATCGGCGGCCCGGAGACCAGCACCGGCAATCACCAGCGTATGGGGGGTTCCCTTCTCCTCAGATGATTTCGACAGATGCGCGCCCTTCTCGGGGCTGAAGGCTTTCAGGAAAGCGGGGAGGTTTTCGAGGTTGCGGGCGGATTCGAAGGACGAGGTATCGAGGAATGCGGAGTCTGGGAAGGAAGCATTAGTCTATGGATGGTCCCCAAAGCCGTCTGAACTAGATCACAATCATACCCGGTACAGACAGATCACTCAGCTCAACAGCAGTGATCTCCTTGTTATGCCGGCGAACCTTCTGGGCGAAGTGATCGGCCAACAATGGACCGTCCATCTTTCCGATCGCTTCATCGATGCTGCCTTTGACCTCTGTTGCCTTGGTCTCTTGGGGCTGCTTCGGCTGCTTCGGCTTGTCCTTGTTGTCCTTGCCCTTGCTCCCACCCTTCTTCTTATCGAACTTGCCCTTGCTGTCGTCCTTTCTCTTCTTGTTCTTCGGTCCATCCGAGGCCTTGTTGCCAGTCGACTTGGTCTGCTGCTCCGTCTTGGAGTTGGATTCCTCGGCCTGCCTCTTGCGCTTTTTGTCCACCTTGGCGGCCAGGCCGGAGGGCTTTGCGTTTCCGTCGGACATGACTCTGATCTGAAAATCGAAACTTGCTTTATTGCAGAGGAAAGCCTTCAATTGATTTCGTAACTCGATCGCGATGTCTCTTGCGCCAACTTTTTATGCTGAGTCAGCGCATTCTTATCGATAAGATAAACAAGTCCCACCAATCAGGTCCGGACCCATCCAGCTTGCTTGACCGCCTTCTTTTTCGAGAGTATCTTCTGCCGCGCGGGCGTCGTCACATCCGGGCACGGTTTCACCCCATCCGCATTTGCTTCAACAACGCGCTTTCCCCTCACGTCTTCTATCAGGCGTCGTTTCGGTCGAGCACAGGTCGCAATGGTCATACTTTATCACTAGAGCTTCTCTGAATAGACGCTGCTGCTGTCTTTCTGGTCGACATATGAGATATCCCCTAGCTTAGAGAGTGGCAATCCTCCGCAATAATGTCGACTACTCCCAACCCCCGGCGCCGGTCACCGCGACTGTCCGAAGTTTCGGAATCCTTCTCCCCAATTGGAGACACCACACTCACACAGGTACGGCCTCTCCATGCCTCAGAAAGAGTACATACGCTTACTCTTAGTACTATATACACAGCTTTCGCGCCTTCCAATCCCAACCAAAAACCCCCTCACTCCCAGCCGACACGCGACCTCAACTACCACTCCATCCGCAAACAGATTTACACCGCGTAACAGAGGCGTCGGCGCGCCTGCCACCCCATTCAGACTAAATGCAATTCAGCGACGTAATGCGAACACTCCTGGCCGAGATCGCAGGAAGAGCGGACGAATCCAACGTGAAACAACATTTGATATCCTTCGGAATCTGGGAAAGGGTGCGGTCCCCTCCTTCACATTCCGATGCTATTTCATCCTCTTACGGAATTACTCACGAATGTGCGAAACCTTATGGGATAAATCCGGCTGACCTGAAGTAGCACTTGCCCCGACTACCCAACCGATTCGTTCGTCACCCAGTGAGAAACCGGAGCCCGTGGCGGAGCCTGTCGAGCCTGAGAAGGACGAGTTTGAGATCCTTGACAATGAACCCGAGTTGGAACGACCCCGGCTATCTTTACCGCTAGAGGAAGTTTATGAGGTCGATGAGGAGCCGGAGATGCGTCCTCCGAGGCTATCCTTGGCGATCGAGGAAGATGATATCACGGTCGAATACCCGAGGCGAGCTGCAAGCGAGCTAGACAGGGGCCGACTGTCAATGATGGGTCCGCGGCTGAGTGAGAATTTTGGCGATGCGACTCGGTTTAACAGTGACGACGAGGATGACGAGGATGATACGGGGCTTGTGCATGGCGATGACGCCGGAGACGAAGCAGACGAGACCATTGATAGCCAAGGGGCTTTTGATCGAGGGTGGGTCGCGTCTATCTCACGTGGAACGTCGTTTTACATAGCTGATATGTCTTACGCAGGGGAGACACCGAGGACTTGGGCCGGTTCAACTTCGAGTTCAATTTTCCATCGCCGCCAGCCCCTGGGGTCGGCGACTTGGACCAGAACGCACCGATGCACGACGATGAGGGATTTGAGCTTCCGCCAGTGGACATGCCCCTAGATATGGACGTGGGACCCGGCGATGACGATGATGTCAGTAGTGTGTCTGACGCTGGCGGAGACTTTGGCATGAAGTTTCCGGTCCCGGAATCTGTTGCAATGAGCGAGAGCCGAAGTCCTGGGATTGTTGGTGGAGGTCTGCGGGAGGAGGATCAGTATGCCCCTGGCGTCAAGCAGAAGAAGCTCTCCCGTCACGGTATCCCCGTTCCTAATCTACCCGTTGGTGTTGTGAAGAAGATGGCCATGCGCTTTGCGCGGGCACGGCACGGGTCCAAGGCGAAAATCAGCAAGGAGACTCTGGCGGCGATTGAACAGGCCTCGTCGTGGTTCTTTGAACAGGCCAGTGACGATCTGGCAGCATATGCCAAGCATGCTGGGCGCAAGACGATCGATGAGAGCGACGTTACAACTTTGATGAGGCGGTGAGTCTACCAAATCGCTACGATTACGACGGGGTACTAATCCCTTCAATTAGACAACGGCATCTGAGCAATGCCACTACAGTCTTCTCTCTTGCACAAAAGCATCTCCCGAAAGAGCTGCTGCAGGATATGAGATTGGCGATGCCGCCATGAATGGTCGGTACATATACATAAATTTTTCTTAACCTACACGCCCCACGCGACATACCCCTGGAAGGTGCAGATCGACACCCCGAACAGACCTACTACCAGTTACGATTCAACCGGACACGACGAGTGGCCTCGTTCGGTCTCTTGCGAACGATCATCCAGAACATAATGGTCGTTGCCAGCGACAACCCGTACCTAGAGCGCATGAGCAGGGATTCTTCGGGGATAATGATGCTCTGGCATTGCGAAGCTGGACAAAACTCACCACGTAAAGATATACTGGCTGTGGTTATTGCGCAAGTTAACCTCGGCGGCACGACCGATGGGAATACCCTTGGCCTCCCGATTATAGGACTCGACCAGATCCGGCACTAGAATTTAAAGGAACAAACAACGTTAACTCCGAAATACCTTTTCTCCACTGCACATAGAACACGTAAGGGGGAAAAGAACATACCCATAGTCTGCTCAATCCACACCGGCTGACTCCCGGTCAACTCAGCCATCTGCTGGATATCCGGGAAGTAGAACTTGCCCTCGTGGGGCACATTGTCCGGCGTAAACATGTTCTTCTTCCACGGCTCGCGCAGCAACCCTTCCACCACGACCTCGCCGCGCGGCAGCGCCCCCTCCTGGTCCCGCACCTTCTGGTCCTTCTGCTTCCGCGAGATCCAGCCGCGGTTCACGAGGATGGTCGACTGGCCCTCGCCGCGCTCCAGCGGCGTCACCACGAAGAACCCGTCCGTGCCGTCGTGCATGCGCGGCCCCACCAGCATCTCCTGGTCGTGGCGGAAGCGGCCCACCGTGTAGACGCGGCGGTAGTCGAACTCGGCGATCGCGGCGGGGTCGATCCGCGGCGGCAGCGGCAGCGGGTCCTTGACCAGCCGGTCCTCGAAGGTCGCGATCATTTTGGTCTTGCGGTCCAGGCGGTAGATTTGCCAGGTGCCGAGGCCGAAGGAGATGATGGGGATTAGGGCTGTTTTCGCGGGGGCATGGTTAGTGATTGGTGATCCATTTGGGGGGGAGAGGAGGAATTAGGGGTCTTGAGGGGTTAGAGAGGAGGCGGGGGAAGGGGAGAAGAAGGCTTGCAACGCATACCGAGAATAATCAACCCCGGTCCATGCTTGTTGCCGGTCCGGACGATCTTCGCCGGATTGTCGACGACGGAGAGCCAGGCTGGATCGTCGGCTAGTTGATTGCTGTAGGATCGGGTTTGCTGCTGCATGCGACATCTGGTGCAGATTGAGTCGAGGGGTTTGGGTTGGAAGAGGGCGTTCGTTCGGGGAGTGCGGCGGAGAAAGGAGGAGGTGGTGGTGGTGGTGGAAGAGGAAGATGCGGTTGTTGTTGCTGTTCGTGTGGCGGGTCGCAATGATGCGGCGCTCCGCTGGAGGGCGGAGATGAGGGACCGCATGTTGACAGGTATATGGGTGTCCCCCTCGCAAGACAATTATAAACCTGGGCTCGAGGGTTGGTGGGTGGTAGTGGGAGGAGGAGAGATGCGGAGAGAAGGAAAAGTAAGCTGAGGGAGTTCCGCTTCCCGCCTTGTCCTTATCGATTGTCATCTCCGCGCTCCGAACCTCTCCACTCACTACACTCCCCGACCCCCGTCTACTACTTTCCATGCTTGCTTGTGGTTCGGTTTCCCTGCTCTTTTGCTTGACGACTACTCGTATCTCTTCCTGAAACTATGTTCTACTCGGGGAGTCTCCAGGAGGGAATTGTCTCGGCTGTCAGCCAGGCTAAGGCCGTCGTATGTTTTGTTCGAGGTTCGTTTGCTTTGCTTTCATTGTTTGGCGAGCTGTCGTTTCTCCGCATTGCTGGCACCGCCCCCTCCAACTACTCAGTACGTATTCGGAGTACCAGAGCTGACGCCGGACCCAGATGACGAGCAGACGAGCAATACGTGGGAGGAAAACTACTTCACAGGGGATGAGGAGGTAAACACTACCTGCTCCATCGGATCTATATCGCGCCCCCCCCCGCTCACGGCTTAGTTCTCCCGGTTACTCGAGACAAGAGCTGTCCTCTTGCGCCTCACCAAGGATAGTCAGGAAGCGGGCTTTCTGACCTCTTTCTGCCCTATTGTAAAGTTTCCGACGGTCGTTGTCATTAAGTATGTGCGGAGGTGTATTCCGTGCTCGTGTCTTTTTGGTTAGTTTTATTGACGGTCTGGCAGGAATGGCATGCTGTGCGACTATCTCGTGCCGGAGATATCCGAGGAGGACTTTCGTACTCGCCTTGCTGCTAAGCTGAATGAGAGTCAGGCCACTGCTCAACCGGACGTGACTGCTGCGTCTGGGGATGCTATGGAGCGTCCTGCATTGGGGGGTACTGCGAGTGAGCCTCCCGTGCCCGTGTCTACAGCTGTTGCGCCAACAGCTGCCGCACCTGCAGCTGAGCCCTTGACTGCCACTCCATCGACTCCAGCCTCTGGTGCGAGCGAGAACCGCGACTCGAGTAGGCGCGAGGGCAAGAAGAGAGTGGAGGATGCGCGAATATCCCAAGTCACGACCCCGGCCGCGACACAGAAGAAGGCCACCGTAGCGCCCAAGCAAGCCAACAAGGCCATCGCTCCAGAACAGCGACCCCGCAAAACCCTATCGAAGCCAGTAGCCTCGACTCCCAAACCCACGCCCCCATCCCCTGAGACTGAAACACCCCAAGTCCAGCAGCCTCCCTCCCCCGCGACACAATACCGTCTCCAAGTCCGCCTCTTTGACGGAAGCTCCGTCCGCTCCAGCTTCTCCCCGTCGCAGACCATCCGCGCCGACGTCCGTCCCTGGCTCGACACGCAAATGCTCGAAGAGAAGCGCCCCTACAACCTCAAGCACATTCTCACTCCCCTCTCGAACCGCACCCTGACGATCGCCGAGGAAGAGCAAACCCTGGCAGAGCTCGGCCTAGGCTCATCCGCGAATCTTGTCATGGTGCCCATCAGCACATACACCGATGCTTACTCCGCTGCCGGATCCAGCCTGCCCGCTCGCGCCGTGTCCTCCGCGTACGGACTCTTCTCCTCCGCCGTCGGCACCGCCACAGGCTTGGTCGGTTCATTCTTGGGGTATGGATCGACGGCTCAGAATCCGGGCTCTGCTCAGACCGGATCATCCTCTACCGGTACCTCTGCGACGAGTGATGCGGACCGAAGGGCCCGTCCTGCTGGCACCTCGAACCGCGGCCCGATTATTCGGACGCTGAGAGACCAACGTGACGAGCAGGAGAATAATCAGTTCTATAACGGGAACCAGGTAAGCACTGCCTTCATTGGTCTCCGTTGTGGCTACGTCCGTGCATTGCTAACAGCGAGTCGTAGTTGAACTTCCAACCCCGCAGGGACGATATGGATCGCCGATGAGGGGTTGTGTACTGTAATTTGAGCTCAGTCGTCGAGAGATTGGATCACTTGCTTCAGACGTATGTAGTATAGCAGCGATAGCACTATCTAGTTTACTGGGATCTGGAAAACACGAGACTACGAGACTATAGGGAGTATGTCTATGAAGAGTGGAAATGTTTCTTTCTTTTTTTTTTCCGCTGATTTTCGTTCTTCGTGCCTATCGGCTTTCGTAATGATTGATCTAGATATACAAGGGTAATAGTAGTAGTAGTAGTGGCAGTCATGATGATGATGATGATGATGATGATGATGATGGTAGCCAGTCTTCGTCGCCATGTAGAAGAAAAGGAAACAACGAGCAGATGATAAATCTCAACCATCCCTCAGCACAAGCCCTGCCTCAAAGGACACAGGGGCTTGAGAATGATTCCATTCCATTCCACACGCCAAGGAAAACGTGACGAGAAAAAGAGTACATTCCCCAACACCAGCACTCCAGAAAAACAAGCTGGAAGAGCGACCCGTGGTAGGAGATGTGAAGGGGGGTATGGTATGTGATGATTTTGCATTATGCATTCGAAACAAAGTGGAAAAAAAAGAGCAGCATAGATCGATTTCTTATGTCCGAGATGTCATATCCAACGGATATATGGATTTAGATTGACTCTTTTCTCTCGAGGAATCTAGTACTGCTTAGCAGCAGCCTGGCAGGCTTTCTAAAATGAGGTGTTAGCTAACACGTCAATGCTTTCTCCCCGCTATCACAGCGGATACTAAGAAAAAATGGAGGATACGAACCAGCTGATCCAAGTACCATCCACAGATGGACATGTTGCCCTGGTTCTCGTCCATGCAGCGCCGGAAGTTCTGCACGTCGGTGGCGCAGGCCGGGTTCTCCCAGGTGCTGTTGGTGGCGTTGCCGGCCCAGAGGGCGTTGTCCATGGCCTGGGACTGGGCCGGGGGCGCCGCGGCCTCGGGGGCCTCGGCGGGCGCGCTGGAGCCGCCGCCGCTGAAGAATCCGCCGATGGCGTGGCCGATGGAGGATCCGACTGCTACACCACTGTTTTTGGTCGTTAGTGAGGAGGCTGAAGGGTTTTTGGGTGGGAAACAGCGGGCGACGGGAGTTGGGGGTTTTGCGGCTGGTCGTTTTGGGGATGGGGGCACCAGGGCACCAGGGTCACTTACGCGGCGGTGGAGGCCATCTGGCCAAAGAGACCGGGACCGGAGCTCTGGACAGGAGCAGCCATCGGGGCCGGGGGAGCAGCGGCAGGAGCAGCGGCCGGAGGGTGGGCGGAGGTCGAGTGAGGCTGGCTGTGCTGCTGCTGGACAGGAGCGGCCGGTCTGGCGGGTGCGGCAGTAGGTCTGGTGGGAGCGCTGCGCGCGGGGGTGGGAGCGGCACCACGGCGTTGACGAGGCATTTTGATCTGTGTTGGTGGGTGGATGGTAGAAGGGTGGAGATTGAGGTTGGTGTTGGTGGTTGAAGAGGAAGTGGTGGTCTGGATGGATGGCAATCGGGGGAAAGATTGTCTTTATGCAGTAGAAAAAGAACAAGCTCGAATCCCCGTCGGGCGGAGAAAGTCCCATTGAACCTCCGATGCGGTGCCTATTCCGCCACTGCTGATTGGTGCTGTCTTCGCTTATGTCAGCTACCGGTCCGGCTATTCGGGGCTTGTTCTTGATTGGTCGAGGCCTCGGCCACTTCAACTTAGATTTATCATGTGATTATCAATTTACATTGGTTTGACACCTACATATTGCTAGCAATATCCGAAGAACAACTACATTGAAGGCCCATCGATTCCATGGTTATTGGAGGATTTACAGCAGTTGGGTGGAAACCTTCGACTGAAATTCCTTGATCGCGGCCTATATAAGGAGTTATCCATCCATCGTACACCCCTTATCTCCGGCTGATGTTCCCTCATGAGTCACCGCCAAACATGCCCGTGATCCACACGGCTGAGCATGTGTATGTAGCCAGATCAAAATCTCACGTTGCCACTGTTCGATTGTGGTGGAACCTTGCAGTAAGTGGTGGAAGAGTCCAAGCTTTGCGCCGATTCCACTGGCGCGCTGTAAGAGGTACAGCTGCCGGCTCGCACACTTCTCAGGAACGAAATACCCGGCCAGCCTTGCGCATCACATGGTTTGGTCAGGCGCCGGTCTAACGACAGTCTCCGTTGAGTCCGCCTAGTTAACCCATGCTATAGGCGTTGAGGGCTCCCTTCGTAGCGGGGTATATGACACCCTAGAAACAGACCCGGATGCCACCCGGCCAACGATCAAAAGTGCTAGTTGTGATTGATGAGCAGAATAGTGCCTAGCCATGTACTGTGTATCGGACCAGCCGACCACAATGCTAAGCCATGTGCACTGTTGAAGATCCAGATGCTATCTCATTTGAGGTTCTTCGCTTTGCGCATGTCGCCCTTCTTCTTCCGCCTATCCTTCTTGACTTCTTTGCGTTCGTCCTTGTTAAGTTTCTTCCGTTGCTTGTCCTTGTTCCTCTTCTTGTCATCGTTTGGTTGCTTCTTCTTGCTCTTTTGGGTGGTCGGCGCGGGTTTCTCGTCCGCGTCCTCGCTTTCGGCATCAGACTCGTATTCGGATTCGTCGGAGGCATTCTTGGTCGGTGGGTCGGAAGTTGAGGAGTCTCTCTTCGCTAGGAGTGAGGCCTTGAGCTGCGCGCGTGCTCTTTCCTTCGCCTCTCGCTCTTTGCGCTCCAAGTCGAATTTGTCATTTCCAGCCTAGCCGCGAATTAGTACTGCAATACTGAGAGAACTGTCGACTCGTATGATAAAACCTACAAGACCGTGTTTGATGAAGCGACCGGCGGCCTCCTTGTCGAGCTTAAGAGTGCGTTGCTCGGGTCCCGTCTCCAGCTCTTTGATCTTTTCGAAGTATTGCTTCACCCGGGTCAATTCTCGGAAGACCGGGTGTTCCTTGGCGTTAACACCGTGCAGACGCAGCCAGGCTATTTTAAGACATTAGTACATACGGCGGCTATCGCCGAGGAAATGGTGACATACAGAAGATGAGAGATTCCAAAGCATAAGTGACCAAGACATGAAATTTGGCCTTGTCCAGTACTGGAAGATTGCTCGAGGTTTTCACGACGGAGCCGTCCAGCACAGGCTGGAGGATCTCCTCGAGGTCATCGATGTTGTCGTCTAGCTGCTCAAGCAGCGGAAGTAGATCTGCGGCCTCCATGTCGAGCGCGGTTCTTTGTATGCTGAAAGGAGAAATCCCGAAAATCTGGTACAATATGGTGATTTTTTCGGCGATGAAGGCGGTGAGCGAAGCGGTGGCGGGACAAAATTGTCCGGCGCCTCTTACGTCCTTCGCATCTTTCACTTACCTTTCATCTTCTATTCTTACAAAACTTGCTGACAGGCTCAGCTGATATTGTCATGCTCGGAAATCCCTAATTCTCACTGTCTAGATATCGCCTGCAAATCATACGTCGCTCAGGGAGGAGCACGACCACCATTCCCACAAAGGGTACACCCCCCGGCCCCCCGGTTTCTCAAGACCGCTGTTTCGCGGCAACTTCTCAAAGTGTCGTACATATTTGGACGCAGTCCGCTGTGGCGGACTGGTTTATATAAATCATGCGTCTCACCGGTATTCAGAGCTCGGCAGTTTACTGTCAGTTGCCTCATGTCCAGCCCGTCCACTGAGCCAGAGAAATCGGGCAACGGCGGGTCCAAACATCGGCTTTCAGGACGCATACATATCGTGGGTAGTGACAATGGCGCTTTATTTATTGCTCACTCATTAGCAAGTCGACGGTCTGTACCGCCTATCACCCTGCTGCTGAACGATTTTGACTCCTACCAAAACTGGATGGATGCGAAACAGAGCATAAGCTTGCAAGCGAATGGATTGGAGGACATCAAAACCGGCTTCGATGTGAACGTCCGGCGGGGCAAGGATACCTGGTATTCGGTTCCACCGGAGACTGAGCAGGTCGAGGACCGAAACGATGACACGCTCGAATCTGACGGCGACTTTATTGGCGCGGCGGAACCTGAGGCTCGCGGAACCGTGCAATTCCAAGAGGATGATTCGAAAATCGAGTGTGTAATCATCCCTGTCAGATCGAACTGGACTGTCCTGGCCGTGGAGTCGATCAAGCATCGCTTGACGCCCGATTCGACGATCCTGATCCTCTCAGACGGCCTAGGCACGATGGAAGAAATTAACAGACACTGCTATCCGGACCCCGAGACACGCCCGCACTTCATGCAAGGAGTATTCACCCATTACATTCGTCGGAGAAAGCGCGGGTTTCAATTCTATCATGCTCAGCTGGGCACACTTGTATTAGGGGTTCCCCCGCAAGACGGTAGACTGTCTCCAGCTGAGGCCGACAAGATCTATTGGACGCAAAGCTGGGCCGATTCCACCAGGTACCTCATGCGCATGCTGACCACCACCGCGCCACTCGTCGCTACTGCAGCAGCCCCGACCGATCTCTTGCTGACTCAGCTGGAGCAAATCGCGATCCAATCCGTTCTCCAGCCGCTGACCGCGCTCATGGGATTTACAAACGGTGCTACTCTTTACAATTACCACTTCACCCGTGTGATGCGCCTCCTCCTACTCGAAACCTGTAGCATAATCGCCGCTCTGCCCGAGGTTCGGGCAATTCCTGGCATGGATGTCCGCTTTGGCCCGGAGCGCATACGCCGCATGATCACCCAAGTTGCCGAAAGGACTGCCGGCCAGGAGAGTAATATGCTGCGTGATATCAATGCGAACCGGATAACTGAAATTCAGTTCTTGAACGGCTACATCGTGCGCAGAGGCGAGGAGCTCGGCGTCAAACCAGTGATGAACTACTTGATTCAAGCCTTGATACAAGGAAAGACATATGAGGCCCGACAAAAGGAAATCTCTGCAATCCCCATTGATGTCCCCGCGGATGGGCAAAAACAGGATTCTCGAAGCGCTCGAACATCCGAATTAGACCGCAGGATGCTTCCACCTTTTGATCGTTCTACTAAATAACCTCCTCTCAACCATGTGTATAGTCCTAGCAGGAAACCGTATCTAGGGCTTGAAAGCAGAGCTGTTCAATCTGTCTCCACCGGTTCAGGAGCGTTCGTACCTTTTCTGGACGGAACTGGTCGCTCTCACCGGGCAGAACACTCTCCAGATATCGAATCGCCGTATTTGCCTCTTCGATATATGCGCCAATCCAGCTTCGAACTACCTCTGCGGATCTCCTTTCATCCACACTCTGACTTGAGTAACCGAGAACATGATCTTGCCAGGCCTTGGGCCTCATATATGTGATCGCAGCGGCGACTTCGGTCCGGTAGCAAACACCACCGGCTGTGAGTTGGTAGTTCCTGATCGGCGGCGGGTTAGCGCCGGTGATCTGCATCATAATGGAAGCAGGAGCAATATACACACCCCAGGTACTGATGAAAATCCAGTTCCTCCTGTAATTTAGGGCTGAGGTCTTTGAATATAATGGCATCGAGATATAGAGTCTCAGATTCGTTCTCCTTCAAGTAGAACCCATCTAGAAACCGAGTTTAGCCAAGGCGTAGAGACGCGCAAGTTCAGGGCCGGATACTCACACTCAGTCAACAGGAAATCATTCGGATGGGGGCCATAGCTCATATAGATCTCATCCCCTTCGTCTGCGACACCACAACAGTCAATCAACAACTCAGCCACAATAACCCATCAAGGCAGATAGCTCGAGGAGATAGTTAAATCATACCGTACTCCTTAGCAGCGCGAAACACATAATGATGCCCGTCAAACTTGACGTTGCACTAAAGGAACCCCCCAAAAAGTCAGCCACACCACCCCACCCCGCAGCACAACTCGAAAACCCGCGCACACACACGTGCAGGCATGAATGTTCAACCTTACCGCTACATCCGAGTGATTGAAATAGTCGGCGAACGGCAGCAGGGCCATAGCATCATTCCGATCCTCCGGCGGCTCCTGGCCGGGCATCAGGTAGAAAAAGCTCCGCGTGTTGACGATCAGCCAATGATACGTGAATTGGTCCCAGTCTGTGTTGGGGAACACGGCGACCACAATATCCCAGTCCCTGCGCAGGCGCTGTTCCTGGTGCGCGAGGAGGTTCTGATGCGTGGTTTCGTAGTCGTGCGCGCGTGGCTGCGTCGGGATCGTGGTCCATTGGCCGGAGATGGAAGGGGGGAGGAGGGCGACGGTCTTGCGAGGGACGTTGGGTCTGGGGAGTCTCGATGACGACGACGACGACGACGAGTACTCGGAGTTTGTTGCGCGCCGGAACGACGCAGGCCAGAGGATGGGCATGCTCGCTTCGAAGTCGGCGCGGGTGGGCCAGGTGCGCCGCCAGAGGGTGTAGGGTTCCAGGTCGGCAGGGTCGCCGTTGGTGAGATAGGCGGCGTAGAGCGCGTGCGTAGGCGTTCCGTCCGGGAATCGGCTGGAGAAGGAGGTCGGGATCCGTGAGGGGGTCAGCATGGCTTCGTGCGGCACTGTTACGATGGCTTCGTCTTTCTGGTTTGGTGGGGTTGTGATGTTAGTGTATGGCTGGCGAGCGGCTTTGTTGGTTTAGTATTGTGTGCATTGTCGTACTTCTATATGCCGTGTGGCGATCATGCCTAGTCCTCGGCCTGGGAATCGTGCCGGACTGACTCCGTTGATGAGGATGCCTTGGGATAGAGCCCATTCGGTAAATGCTTCATGTTGTTCGCCGGGCCACCAGGTGGGTCGCATTTTTGCAATTGTCGAGCTGGACATAATTGTAACCTGGTCAATCGGATGGCTATGTTGAGAAGTAGTATATTGCTAGCTGGGGCTCCCGTTTGCTGAACCTCGCGGTCGTGACAATGCGGCTGCGTCGCAAATAATCTGGAAATTGACCCGCTCTCACCCCCAATCGATAAAGGAAGGTCTCTTCTTTTTTTTTATCTTATCGATCTTTATCAGGCGGTACGGCACGCCAGACCCACCACTCACGCTATCCGGAATCTCCCCGAAATCGTACCACTTGCATCTACTTCGACCGATCACTGCCCCCCACGAAGCTCGAGTCCAGTGCGACGTGGTGTCTCTTTGAACCTCCAAGATGTCTGTCCTCGGGAAGCGCAGCGCTGCCCTCGGCGCTCGGGAGCTGAACCTCCTTGCCACAGCAATAATCGCAGCTCCTGTGCCCCTCCAGTCTCGTTCCGCGCGGTCTTTCTCCGCCTGGAACCGTCCTCCGCCAAACTATCCCGGCCATGTGCCATTGACCTTTTTCGAGCGCGGCGCGTTGGCCGTGGGCTCTGCTTTTGGAGCTCTCATCAACCCGCGAAGAGCTGGTGCGCTTGCAACCTTCCCTTTGCCATCGTTCACCGCGCCCTCTCCGCATTCCTCTCTCCCCAATCACGCCTCCCCCCTCTAACCCAAATTCCCCACACTAACCACGAAAACGCAACCCACAACCACAGATCTCATCGCAACCTGCGGCGAAGCCACGGCGACCCCCTACTTCATCTACCGGCTGCGCGACGCGATGCTCGCGGACGCGACGGGGCGGCAGATCCTCCGCGAGCGGCCGCGCATCACCTCGCAGACGCTGCAGATGGGCTACCTGCGCACGCTGCCGGAGAACACGGTGGGGCGGACGTACGCGACGTGGCTGGACCGCGAGGGCGTGTCGCCGGACACGCGCGATTCCGTGCAGTACATCGACGACCCGGAGTGCGCCTACGTCATGCAGCGGTACCGCGAGTGCCACGACTTCTACCACGCGGTCACGGGGCTGCCCATCTTCGTCGAGGGCGAGCTGGCGCTCAAGGCCTTCGAGTTCCTGAACACCCTGCTCCCGATGACGGGGCTGAGCCTGTTCGCCGCCGTGCGCCTGAAGCCCGCCGAGCGCGAGCGGCTGTTCCAGATCTACCTGCCGTGGGCGGTCAAGAGTGGCCTGAAGAGTAAGGAGCTCATCAACGTGTACTGGGAGAAGATCCTGGAGAAGGATGTGGGCGTGCTGCGCGAGGAATTGGGCATCGAGCGGCCGCCGGATATGCGCGAGATCCGCCGGATGATCCGCTTGCAGAAGAAGAGGGAGAAGGAGGAGGCTGCGGCGAAGGCTGGGTTGTAGTGTGGGTTGAGTTTGTTTCTGGGTTCGGTTTTAGGTTGGTGGTGGTGATACCTGTGTATATTATTGTATTGCATGGCATGGATATATTGATTTCTGGTTTAGAGAACCCCTTGGTTTGGTTGGTGGATCTACGTGTGGGTTGACATCAAGGTGTGAAGGAGGACTCAATAGTCATGATGTTACCCATTAAGTCAAGCAGGCTCTACGCACCACGCAGGTATAAGAGTAGCCTTTGATATCGAACCATTTTCAGAGCCGATAACCCAAACATCAAGCGCATGCATGGATGATTCACCCAGGACTTAGATCGGGGCGGAGAAAAGAGGAGAAGCAGGCGAAAGGTATCATAAAAGAGACTGCAAAAGACCATCCATCATCATCACCTGCGGACGTCAAACGTCTCTCTCGCTAAGAACACTTCATCACATCAGAGATTATTGTCGCCTCTACAAGTCCAACAGATCGTCGTCGTCGTCCCAGCCCCCTTTGCGCCGAGAGATCACAATCTTGTGCTCCTCCTCGTCCTTGCGCTGGTTCTCGGCCATGGCGTTGAGCAGCTGCTTCAGCTGGTCCTCCGACACCTTCTGGCGCAGCTGGCCGGTCTGCGCGAGCATGATCAAGCGGTTTTCCACGTCCATGGCGCGCGATTCCTTGACGAGGCGGATGCGGCCCAGGCGGTCGGCGGCTTCCGGTTCGAGGATCTGGTTTAGGATGGAGGCACGGCGGTCGGCTAGGTGGGAATGTTATAGTGAGTACAGTCGTTTGCTTTGCAGCGTGGTGGGCGGAGGTGGAGGAGGGAACATGGCGCGGAGGTTGCTCCAGGTTTAGCCCTCTTCATATGTCGCAGGTGGATTTGGGATTGCTATTGCGCATACCTTCAGCTTGTCTTGACGAAGAGTTAGCGATTAGTGGTTCCAATCATGTGGATAGCTGTACGGAGTACGTACTTTCTCTGATCTTCTTGGCCGTCACCTGGCCCGCCGCGTGCACCACCGCTCTGTTGCTGGAGCTGAGCCATGCGGGCCCGTCTGATCTGTTACATGTTTTAGTGTCAGGGTCGATCAATGCTACACTGACCAAAAAGAACGAGGTCGACTATGGCAATAGATTGACGGATGGGGGAAGATCGAAAGGTCGGAAGCATGAGGCTGGCATACTGACCTCTTCCAACTCTGCGTCGGCCATGGTTGCTGCTGGTCAAGTTGGATCGACAATCTGTGGGAAAGGGGGGGGGTTTCTCCTTGATCAGTGCAGTCTGCTCGGGGAATTTCCGGTGTAGATCTTCGGACCAAGACGATCTCTGCTGCGAGATCTTAGAGTAAAATTGTATAGATTGAAAAACCCAAAGTTGGAAAAGATTATGCACAGTGGGAATGGAGGGAAACCCGCTCATGCATCTGCTATTGATGGAAGTTTCCACCCCCACCTTGATGATAGCTCCATGCCTCAGGCACCCAGGCCACAACGTCCCCCCCCCCCCCCCCCTCCCGGGGCGGGGCGCCATGAGGCATCCGCAAGGCCATCATTGCCCAATCAGGAAATCAATAGAATGGCGGAGGGAATGCAGCTTCGATCCCGCCAGATTGGGACGATTACACCGCAAGTCGGCTCGATTGCCTGGCAATGGCTACATGAAAAGTAGTGACAGCTGGGCTCTCTGCCGATCAGGGCCTCAACCAAGGGTCAGTTAAGGTTCCAATGTCTCAGACGCTGATAATTCCCTTGTTTGCTTATTTGTACTTGTAGACAATTCTCGACTGCACGTATGGTCATCCTCTGCCAAGACCACAGTCATCCTCAGTTCACCGAAGCACTGACAATCCCACTGCTTTGGGTTGAGATTGTCCGGTAGGGCCAGGCTAAAAGCAACCCGGCTCGATCCCAACCCTCGACAATGGGTCACCAATTTTTTGGGTCGGGTCTTCAATTGCATCGAGGCCAGGGTACGAAGTACTGACTAGTAGTATCTAGGGCGAGAGGGAGTCGAAGGGGAAGAAGAGGCAAGTGCAGTGAGAACAAGCCCCCTCCTGGCCCAGCCACTCACTCCGGTATCCCTTTGCGAGACGCTGGTCTGTATCAAGATCACCACACACACACACACCACCCTCGGAGCGGAAACCGAAGAAGCCGGCAAGGGAACGTGGCTTCGAGTTATTTATAAATCGGAATGCAGTGAAGGAGACGAAGATCGGTTACAGGAGAGTAAGTACAATACGGAGTACAACTACTATCGGCAGATCCGTCTCCAGCCAGTGCAGGGTTGTTTTTTTGGAGGTGTCATGGAGGTGTGATGGTTTCTCCTTGGGGGGCAGATCGACTCGGAGCTACTCATAGAATGACCTTCCCATCTGGTAATCTCCTTTTGCTAAGCTTCACTCACAGATGACGGGCAAAGATATCGGCCTGACGCGACAACTTGAAGTTTAAGCGCCTGAGGGTGTGATTGGGTGGGTGGAAGGTATCTCCGCGTATTCTCCGTAATTAGCGTAAGATATACGACACTCGCCACCCGAGCTAATGCTCCTAACGCTGCCAAAAAATCCTTAACCGTCCTTCGAGTGGCCGCCTGACCGCGGGCGGCGATACCGGTAATATACCGTAATTACCTCAATTACTCTGGCTTGCTTCAGGCGCCGCCGGGGCTGTGCTTGTGCTTGTACAGACAGACAGTACTGGTGCCCATCAGTCCGTCGGTCCGTCAAGTGTCTGTCTATCCGTACTCATTACCTACTACTCCGTGCCTCCTCAAACTTCTCACAATCACCTTTGCCCACTAACCTAATCCTTAATCATATGAAATTTTAATTCAATCCTCGCTTTTTTACGCTTCTTCTGCTTCTTCTTTTCCCCTCTTCTTTCCCTTTTGATACGAACCAACAATATCAACGCCCACCTGGAGGAAAAGAGGGGTAGTATCCGCGACTCTAATATCCACACCCTTCCTTTTGATCACGCCCTGATTCCCCGATCCGCCTCTATCGTCATCTGCTCCGGCTCTATCCTACCAACCCTACCTCCCCCTCCCCTCCTCCTCCACCCCCCCTCTCCCTCAATTCGCTTCTACTCACTCTCCTTCACTTGTTCTTTCTTCGTACACTCTCTTCCTGTCTTTTCTTTCATCAAGCGATTCTTGTTGCGCCTCTCAATTCCCGTTCCTTCCTAGTCAGTCTCAATGCGTCGTGGCTCGACTAATTGATCTCTCTCCACGCTGCGCGCTGGCGGAGACGTTGCATTACTCTTGCACTTCCCATCCCCTACTTCACTTGTCCCATGCATAGATCTTGATTACGCTCTCTTGAGTCTGTGAGGAGTTGCAGATGGGAAGTCCCGGACCTGCTATATACGTGGTTGTGAAACCCGCCTCGCTATCATTGTAATACCCCATCTATCTTCAATAACCCGACCCGCAGCTTCTCTTATCACCATGGCCGAGTATGTCTTCACAACCTGTTCAATATCTCGCTAAACTCTCAGACAACAATACTAACTGTCGGACACAGTTTCATCGCCTTCCACACTTACTATACGCGTCATAATTTCCTCTCACCCTCCAACATGCTCCCGCGGCCGACCAGCCACAGACGATCCCTCTCCTCCGAGAATAGGTCTCTGTCACCCGACAGAACCATTACGAAAGCGCGGTCGACAAACGATTTATCGGAAATTGTCACCGAGAAACCGACTCCCGGAGTCCGATCATCCAGTGTGGGAAATTTTCCAGACACCAACTTTAATACGCTTAAGGATCCGAGACTCGCGAGCAGCGCGGAAAGCTCGGAAACCGCATCCACCACCCAGTCGCACCACCCCGATCTCAGCAATGAAGTCGCAGCTTTAAGTGTTAAGCTTGTCCAGGCGATCAACAACCAAACCACGTTAGATGACAGCTTAGTTGCCACCCGCCAGGAACTTGAGCAAGCTCAGAAAAAGATTCGCTCTCTCGAGTCGGAGAACGAAAAATACCGGCGCGACGTTGAACAGCAAGTACTAATTAAGAAGGCCGATGTCGACTACGAAATGTTGCGCCTACAGGCCGCGTTGGCTGAAGAGAAGGCCCAACGCGCGCTAGCAGAGAAAGAGAAGAAGGGCATTGAACAAGAATTAGAGACTTTGACTGCCGCTCTGTTTGAGGAGGCCAACAAGGTTAGATCTCCAGCAATGTATGCTGTTGTCCCAGCTCATGTGCTGACATGTTTGTCTAAATATAGATGGTCGCAGCCGCTAAACTTGAGCGGGAAGCGGTAGAAAAGAAGAACGACCAATTACGCGCTCAGGTCAAAGATACCGAAGCACTCCTCGCATCGCATCAGGAGCAACTTGCTGAATTGAAATCTGTTTTGCAAGGAATGAACGTCGCCAAGGACGATGCTGATGCTCGGACCATCATCTCAACTGCGCCGTCCTCTCCAGCTGCACCCATGCGACCTCCGTCCATCAGAAAGAACATGGACAGTTCGGCTGCTCCCGAGGATGTCATCGCAGTGGAAGACATCACACCGGGCCCCTCGACCAGTTTCCCACACCTGATCAAGGCTGTTTGTCGCACTGATATACAAGCGTACGAGGATTTCCGAGAACTGTTCACCACGTCGAGACTGTCCAAGCCGCCGAGTCGTGCCACCAGTGGGTCCTACGCCGGGTTGAATGTCATGAGCCTAGCTAGTCTGAGCACTGGCGGCTTCGGCTCTGCGTCCTCGTCGCCTGCGAAATCCAATACCCATTCTCCCAGCGGGAGCGTGTCGTCTCCTCAGCCAGTCACTTCCCACATTCCATTGAAGGAAACTCGTTTCTACAAGCGGGTGGTTGTGGAAGACATTGAGCCAACACTGCGACTGGATGCCGCTCCCGGGATCTCTTGGCTAACTCGGCGGTCTGTATTGGGTGGAATTTGTGAGGGTAGTCTGTTGGTTGAGCCTATGCCTTCGTCGGCTAAGCGGTACGAGTTCCCATGTTCACTCTGTGGCGAACGCAGGACCGGCTCCATCAACGAGAGGACTCATCGCTTCCGCACTTCCGATAACGAGACCGCCCAGCGCTACCCGCTGTGTGTGCTTTGCTTGGAAAAGGTACGATCATGCTGCGAGTTTACAGGGTATCTTCGCCTGATTCTCGATGGGCATGTTCGGATCGGGGATGCCGAAGAGGAGAAGGAAGCTTGGGATGAGACTATCAGATTGCGGGAAAGAATGTTTTGGTCCCGAATTGGTGGCGGCATCATTCCACTATTCAACCAGTCGCACCGACACCACGCACACCACGAGAGTTTCTCGAGTGCAGCAGAAATTCCTCTAGAGACGATTGTCGACGGACCGGAAGAAAGCCTGCCAGACCTTACGCCCGAGGCTGATCACGCAAGTCTGCAAATTCGAAATATCGACGAGGTTGATGATGCACTGCAGGACAAGACCTCCCTCAGCGAGGACCCTTTCGTATCTGCTCCCGCCGACGTCGAGGTTCCAGTGACTGTCTCGGTGCCTGATGATGGCACGGATATCGAAGACCATGAAAAACTATTCCATGATACACATGAACAAATTGATGGGCCATCGGACATCGCCCAGATCGCCCACGTTGATGAAGAACCCCAACCCTCTGTGCATATAGAGGAGACTGTTATCAGTCACCCTGCAACCAAGAGTGGCATTTGCTGATTCATTGCACCCAAATTACTTTCCAAGACCTGTGGACACCGAACACACGGATACAATGGTGTCGACCTTCCATTCTCGCGTTTCAGAGCCCCGTGTTCGATATCCAATTGCTATATATCATTTTCTCTTCATTTCATCCACGAAGATTTCCTCGTGTGGCTGCCTGCTTAATCACTCACCGATTCCGTCGTTTTGCTGCCTCAGGCATGATTCGGAGCAAGTGCAGCCCATGGTATGTATTCTTAATTTTTGCTGAACTTGCCCTTCCGCCCTGTATAAATAATATCCTATATTCGTTTCTTTTTCTGTTCCTTCGTCTGGTTCGCAGACGCCGTTGTCTTACCTTGCCGAGCGCAACTCCTGATCACGCAGAAAGGAGCCGCGAATGAACCATGACATTGCATTCGAGTTTGCTTCTTCGTTGTTCGTTTCCCCTTCATTTTCTTCTTCCAAGATTGTTCTCTTTTTTTCAACCTTATTTGTCTTCTTCTCGTTCTATTCTCTTCTTTGCTTCATTGTTGGTACTAGATACCGTTCTATACATGGTGACAGGATGGTGTGGTATACGAGATGGATGATACCGAAGCACGGGCTGACGAGCTTCTCCACATGCACATATTACAATCTATGATGATCTTATTACTTGGAGCATCAAGCATCAAGCATAAACATCTTCTAGTGTAGTCTACATCTTACACGCGTAGTAGCTCGAATGACTGCATCAAAGGGGGATTTGTTTGATCATGAAATTTGCGACAGGATAGGCTGTCTCGTCTCTCGCATCCAGAAAGAAAAATACCAGCGAGGCAAGTTATACATACTCCGACAACAGAAAATATGGGAACTAGAGAAGTTAAAACGGAAAACAGAAAGAATAAACGCCTCCATGAGAAAGGAAAGATGTGAAATCGAAAGAATTTAGCACCGATTGGGGGGTGGGGGCTTTGCCCCGCAAGTGTAGCAATCAAAAACAACTTTATGATACGCAATACCACTCCTCTTTTGTTTGGTGGATCAGCCGCTACCGCTGGTAAGTACCCTGTCGCTCGTGGATCCGTCGGATCTGCTCTTCGACGCTCATATTTTGCGGATTGGGCGGGCCACCCGCGGGGCCGACGGGCACGGGACCCTGCCCGTGGGCACCTTCGAAGGCCATCCTCTTGTGGCGCGCATCCTCCGCTGCTGCTCCCGCGGCAGCGGCGGCACCGTCGGTGGGGAGGACGGAGGAGTCGAAGACGTCGCTGCGCTGGCTGGCGAGACGCTTGAGGTTGTTGACGACGTCGGCGGTCGACAGGTTGGTGGTGGCGCTGCGCGACTCGGCCTTGGCGCGTTGCTCCTTCCAGCGGGGGTCGAGGAGCTCGATGCGCATGTGCTGCTCGAGTTCGGCGACGGGGATCTGCTGGTGGCAGTTGGGGCAGAGGGCGGTGGCGCCGCCGGCGTTCTGGCGGCGGGCCTGCGCGCGCGGGACGTAGTCGGAGCGGATGCGCATGGGTTGCTGTTGCTGCTGCTGTTGTGGTTGCTGACCGGTGGCGTTGGCTTTGAGGGCGGCGGCTTGATCGCGCGCTTCCATGCGCTCGCGGATCCAGCGCTCCTCTTCCTGGTGCGCGGCGGTGAGCGCGGCGGCGGGCGCCGTGGGGGGTGCGGCGGTGGGCAGGGGGAGGCCGACGTGGGGCGGGTAGATGGGGCCGGCGGTGTGCTGGACGGGGACGGGCTCGGGGACGAACGGTTGGGAGACTTGGTCGGGGAAGTGCGGGTGCGGGTAGGCGTTGTAGTAGTTGGAGGCGTCCAGGTCGGTGGGCATGGCCTCTTCGATGCGCAGCGGGTTGAGCGACATCATGGCCTTCTGCTCGAGCGAGGCGGACTGCAGGTCGTTGAGGGAGGTCGGCGGCGGCAGATCGATCTGGTCGTCGGCCGCGGTGAACAGCACGGTCTCGACCACGACGAAATCGTGCCAGTCGATCTCGGCGTAGGCGATGCGCTCCTTCTCCTCGGCCTCCTCCTTCTCCTGCTTCTGCTGCGCTTGGTATTTGACCCACTCGGCGCGCTCCTTGGCGCGGTCGAGCACGTGGTACTTGTTCTGGACGTTGCGCTCCAGCTCACCGACCCGCTTCTTCTCCGTCGTCGCGGCGTCGATGCCCTCGACGCGGAGCAGGATCGTGTACTGGTCGACGAGGCGCGTGAAGAACGAGTAGAGACTGTGCTGCGGGCGGAGGAAGTCGAATTGGAAGTTGCGGGCCTCGCGCTGGGAGAGGGCGGTCATGAAGGACTTGCCCCGTCGGGCCACGAACAGGGCCGTCAGCTTGACGACTTCGAGATCCTGCGCGTTGATGATGGGCATGCGGGCGGAGAAGTGGAACTCGGGGGGCTCGGGGGGGCCCTTGGGCTTCTCAGGCTCCGCGGCCGCGGTGGATTCGCCGGGACGACCTGCGAGCGCTGTCGATCCTCGCCCTTCCTTGATCTCTGTGAGGCGCCATTGGTAGAACGGGCCGTATGCGTCGTCGGGGTTGAGGAAAGAGAACTTTGGGTTGTTTCGCTCCTTCTCGCGAACACGATCTGGAGAAAAGGCGGGAATGTGTTAGAAGTCGGAGTTGGAGCTTGAGGGCCATGGAATCGGTGAGCTAGTCCTTACCTTCGAATACGGGACCGTTTCGAGCCACGTATCCAGCGGTCTTCTCGACAATGGCTGGTGAGAGAGGTCAGCGTGAATACTTGCGGACGGGTTCTGGCCGAAGCTGGGACTGACCTCGAATATCCTTGGGTGGCAAAACCACACCCTCGGGGGGTTTGTTCACATCGTCTGGTAACGGAGTACTTCCATTACTAACGGCGGCCATAATTCAAGCCGGTAGGGGAGATCAGTCTGTTAGAAAGACAGAAATCCGAGATGCGAGAGAGGACTTGCGGGCGTCGGGATGTCCTTTTCGGGCTGGACTTCATCTATAGCGAGTCTCTTCCCGCGGCGGATGGCGGTTGCTGCGGACTGACGAAGCGCGGGCGGTGAAGTTGGTGAGAGGATCCGCGCGGCTAGCAGAGATGGAGGGTGATTGGCTGACGGGAGCCCGGGGGTCTAGGCTTAAAGCGGACGAACGGTTCCTGTGCCAGGTGAGTCGAGGTCCGAGGCCATCCATGATACATCATGGATACTTACCTCCTAGTACAGTGATGAAACTGCCATGGAATTAGAATTGTATGGAAAAAAACAACCTAAACAAAGACTCGTGATCAGTGATCATTGCCGCCCCCATTTGGCTGGGAGGCAGTGCCTCAGTCTTACTATGCACATGTACTGTACTCCGTAGTACGTACTGTTTGCATCGGGGCGGAAGGAGGGTCCAGCCGCCGCAGCAGGCCAGCCACCGATCGGAACTGCATGCTTCAGCCTTCTTCAATGGATGTTTCTCTCCCTGTCGCTCTCTCTTGCTGACGGGCAGTTTTACTTAGGTAGTCTACGGAGTCTACTTAGCCTACTCTTGCTACACAGCTAGACTTACCCTCCCTCCCGACGATCTGGCCTCAAACCGGTCGACTACGCTTTCATCCCGCCTCCCTAATCGTCCCACACGTGTTGTCTTGTCTTTGCCCTCCTTCTCCATCCACCCTCTCCTCACCACCACCCCATTCCTTTACTTTTCTTGCTTCCCCGCTGTCATGGCCTTTCTTCCTTTCTAATTCTTACACTCGTTCATTGATCTCTTTTCTCCTCGTTTTATTCCTTTTATCTCCTATCTCAAGTCTATCCCTGCTTTACCAAGCGCCGGGCTTTTTCTTTTCGCAAGCTCCCTCCTGGAGTTGGAGCCAGTGATTGCACGGCTTTCGTCATTTCGCTCGCCCGCAGCAATATCTGGATGATCTAATCGGGTTATTGTTTGTTTAATCCGACCCTTTGAACCTGTCCCCTCCCCGCTCCTTGACCCTACCAACTGAAGCGCCTCAACAATGGCGTCTCAATCTAAAAACACCTTGGAGGTCAACCCTCCACCAAAGTCGCAACTACGCTCTTCAAGTCGCTCTCCGGGTCCGAAAAGTCGCAAAAATGTGACTGTACGGGCACCCAGTTACGCCTCGGAAGGTGTTACGGACAACAACATCTTCAAGCTCCCCGCCTCCGACTACAAGACATTGGTCGTGGTGACCATTGTGGCTGCGGTTGTTCGTCTGTTCCGGATCTACCAGCCCTCCAGCGTTGTCTTCGATGAAGTCCAGTACGTCTTGAGATTATCACCATTGCGCATAGCTTCTAGAACAACTCCCGTCTGACAATCTCATCCACAGTTTCGGTGGCTTCGCCTCCAAATATATCAAAGGCCGCTTTTTCATGGATGTCCATCCTCCGCTTGCTAAACTTCTCCTCACACTGGCTGGCTGGCTTGCAGGCTTCGATGGCGAGTTCGACTTCAAGGACATTGGCAAGGACTACCTCGAGCCCGGGGTGCCTTACGTTGCGATGCGGATGCTTCCCGCGATTCTGGGTGTCTTGACGGTTCCGTTGATGTTCTTAACTCTCAAGGCTTCGGGCTGCCGCACTATTTCAGCTATTCTGGGCGCCGGTGTTGTCATCTTCGGTGAGTGATGGCTCTCAGTGGCGGTTGGATGATGCCTGCTAACTCGGCTCAGAAAACGGTCTAATTACTCAATCGCGTCTGATTCTCCTGGATTCTCCATTGGTGTTCTTCACCGCGCTCACGGCTTTGTCGTTCACATGTTTCACCAATCAGCATGAGATGGGGCCATCGCATGCTTTCCGTGGACCCTGGTGGTTTTGGCTGGTCGCGTCTGGTCTTGCCTTGGGTGCTACCCTGAGTGTCAAGTGGGTCGGTTTGTTCACCGTTGCGTGGGTTGGATCGCTCACTGTTCTCCAACTTTGGGTGTTGCTCGGCGATACGGTCAATGTCACACCGGTATGCCATGGAACCCTATGCTCCGCCTTTGAGAGAAGCTAATATCCTTTGTTTTCTAGCGTCTTTGGTTCAAGCATTTCTTTGCCCGCTTTTTCTGCCTCATCGTCATCCCGCTGACCTTCTATTGCGGGATGTTCGCAATCCACTTCTTGTGCTTGGTCAACCCTGGAGATGGAGACGGATTCATGTCCTCGGAATTCCAGGCAACCTTGAATTCGAAATCTATGCAGGACGTTCCTGCAGACGTTGTCTTCGGCTCTCGTGTCTCCCTGCGCCACGTCAACACACAGGGAGGCTACCTGCACTCTCACAACCACATGTACCCTACAGGAAGCAAGCAGCAACAGATTACCCTCTACCCCCACAAGGACGAAAACAACGTTTTTATTCTCGAGAACCAGACACAGCCCTTGGGTCCTTATGGAACCGTGGAAGGTCCTCTGGCTTGGGACAACATTACCGCGGAATACATCGAAGACGGCGCTACGATCAAACTTAACCACTTTGTCACCCGCCGGCGAGTCCATTCGCACGATGAGCGACCCCCTGTGACTGATGTTGACTGGCAGTTTGAAGTCTCGGCATACGGATATGACGGTTTTCCTGGAGACGCAAATGATCTCTTCCGCGTTGAGATCGTCAAGTCGATGTCCGATGGTGAAGAAGCGAAGAAGCGGCTTCGAACAATCCAAACCAAATTCCGCCTTGTGCACGTCATGACTAACTGCGTTCTGTTCTCTCACAAGGTCAAGCTTCCTGAGTGGGGCTTTGATCAGCAGGAGGTGACTTGCGCCAGGGGAGCCACGCTACCAAACAGTGTCTGGTATATTGAATCCAACAACCACCCGATGCTGGCTGAAGACGCGGAGAAGGTTAATTACAAGAACCCTGGTTTCTTCGGCAAGTTTTTCGAACTACAGAAGGTGATGTGGGTGACGAATGCCGGTCTCACGGAATCGCACGCCTGGGATTCTCGCCCTCCATCGTGGCCTACCCTACTCCGCGGTATTAACTTCTGGGGCAAGGACCACCGTCAGGTCTACCTCCTTGGTAACCCCTTTATTTGGTGGTCGTCGACCGTGGCTATCGCAGTCTACTTCCTCTTCAAGGGCGTTTCTGTCCTCCGTTGGCAGCGGAGCTGCGGTGATTATCGCAACGTTAACTTCAAGCGTTTTGACTACGAGATTGGCACCACTGTCCTCGGCTGGGCTTTCCACTACTTCCCTTTCTATCTCATGGCCCGGCAGCTCTTCTTGCACCACTATTTCCCGGCGCTGTACTTTGCGATCATGGCACTCTGCCAGGAATTCGACTTCATCGCCAATCGCGTTAGATCGCTTGGCTTGCCATCCAAGCCTGTGATTGGCAAGATCCTGGCTGGTTTATTCCTTACCCTTAGCATCTTCACCTTCGTCATTTATTCGCCCTTGGTGTACGGCAACCCCTGGACTCAGGAAGCTTGCAGACAAGTCAAGCTCTTGGATACCTGGGACTTTGACTGCAACACCTTCTACACCGATGTAGGTACCCTAATCTCGGGCTGGGAAGCTTTAATACTCCACGGTGCCATGACTAACATACCGCCCTAGCTTAGCCATTACGTGACTCAGTACGTTGATAGTAACGCGAACATGGCTATTCCGCCTACGGAGACATCTGTTCCACAGGTCCCTCCCGTTGTGGCCCCACCTCAGGATGCGCCTCAACAGCATGCCCAGAAAGTTCTTCAGGAAGAGCCTCAAGAGCCTGCGGTTACGCCTCGGGCCCGTCACAGCACCAAGGCACGAGTAGAATACCGTGATCAGGATGGCAACATCCTGGACGAGGAGCTCGTCGCCTCATTGAGGAAGGAGGGGAAGGTGTCCTTCGAGACGCGACACGAGACCTCGACCCGCTTGGATAAGGGTCATCTCGTTGATATGGTCGACGGTGAGATCGAGTTTGCTCCGCCGCATCCGGATGTTGAGGGCCAGAACCCCGAAACTATCCAGAGACATCAGCCTCAAGATGTCGAGGAAGGTCCAGCCTCAGTAGTTGGACATGGTAGCTCCGAGGAACGGAAGGGCACCGCGGACCCCAAGCCGGCCAGTGAAGTGAATGAGGCGACTAAATCTTGAACGAAATAGACTTGGAGCATTTAGTTGGGGGTTGTTTGTATTCTCATCCGATCTTTAGCTCTGCTTATTTACTTTCCTGTACTTTTCTTCGACAGTAACCTTTGCTCATTGGACTAACGAGATGTGACTTTTGTACATGAAAACCTGTTTGCGAGATGAATGAAGTACTCTACTATTGTATTACGTTTTACACTGTTAAAGGATCAGGTATTTGTAAAACGAAACGAGAACAGAAACGATAGTCTTCCAAAAAAAAAGAATCTCGTCAAAAAAAAAAACTATGCACAAAGCTGTTATCAATAACTCTCTCTCTCCTTTCCCACATCAACTTTCCACTCTAATCTTCACATCTTCACACACAAGTTTTAGTGTACAGCGGTCAGAGCCGATGTGCCTCAACTTCTATCAATCGAATCCTTCCGCATGGGGCGGACCGTTCAGTAGTCCCACTCCTCCTTACCGTACTTGTTGAAGCGCTCGTGGAGGTCCTAGCGACAGAGTTAGTGACCTTAGGAACTCAATGCCAGACCCGAGATCTTATCAAGCCGAGAATCGGCGAACGTGGGAATGCAATGCATGCTGCTACTTACGGCGGGGAGGGTGACGTTGGGGACGATGACAGTGTTCAAGGCACTGGGAGCGTTGCGCAGGGGCTGGCTCTTGTCACCGTGGGGGTGGTACTGGTACTTGTAGACCTTGCCCTCGGCATCGGCCTGCTCCCAGGGCATGGCACTCTCGCCGATGCGGACGTTGCTCTCGGAGGTGACGGAGGTGGGCTTGCGGCCGAAGTACCTGTTTATTTGCGAAGATCGCAAGTACAACCCGTTAGCAAAGAGCAACACTGAGGAATTGACCATTTGATCGGGGTAGTGGTGGAGAAATGCAAATTGGGTTGTGACAAGGATAGATAGACCTCGGGAGGAGGACGAGGTGGAGGGCCCAATTTTGCAAAAGCGAATTCGTGTCGTGCGGACAGGAGGGAAAAGGTGTGTGTGGAATTTACCATCCGGCAAGCAGGAAAGCACCAGACATGACACCGAGGAGGACCTAAAGGAGTAATGCTGGTTAGAAAATTGGCCCGCCGGTTTTCAATTGAGGGTGGATGATTGCCGTACGTAGAGCTCGGGGTCACGCTTGGGAGCCTTGTCGAGGTTGGCCTGCTCCAGCTTGGAGGACTGGAAGCGGCGCTGGGGAGCGCGGAGGAGGGATTGGCGGGCAAAAGCCCGGCGAGAGGCCATGGCAGCGATCGAGGACATGGTGGTGGGTTTAGGGAATTGAATGTATATCAGCCCTTGTTGGGGTAGGAGAGTATGAGGTGTGGGTTTGATTTGGGGGGGGGGTGGGTTGAGAATCGGTGGGTGTCGGACGATGATGTTGCCGGCGCATCATCAGGTGACATCCCGTTGGCCAGCGGGATTTTGACTTTCTGGTGCTAATGGAAGGGCTGACTCAGCTGGTAGTTAAGCTGAGCTGTGCTGTGTCGCCTAAATTGTCAGGCTACCGTGAGGCTGCAAGCAGTGACGGAGTGGAGTATCTTACGGTCATACGGTCGGGCGGTCGGTCCCGGGCAGGCACTGCAAGTCGACGTCCTCGACTTTCTTTCCTCAGGCCGCCATGCCCGGTCGCGACCGTTTGGCTCTACCCTTTCTACCTTGACTATTCCCCCGTGACGCTTATACGCATCCTTACAGCCCACACCCATCCCTCCTCTCCCATTTGAAGGTCATGGTCGCCCTTGCGATCGTACTATGATGGGCTCCGGTTGCTAAGAAGGCCTTCTCTCCATCCCCTTCTACATCCCCTCCTCCAGGTCCGTTTGTTCGGTGCTACGACTTTCCTGCCCTGGGTTCATTTACCTTGGACAGGGGTTGGCCCAAGCCCTCTCCTCCCACCCCCCCGATATAACTCGAAATTAATTGTTCCGCGAAACTAATCGGCCAGTGCTCTCTCTTTAGGTTGCTTACGCTCATTTCCGATTATTCAATCCCTTCTACTTCAATCTACGATATTTTTTCTGTCACTCCTTCAGACCCTCTTAAGTTCGACTTTGATCCGACCCTGTTCTATACTCATGCCCGAAGAATTGCGGTCCCCGGTCCCCGGTATCTAGTTTATCGAATCTATCCATCTTCTTTTACCCCTGTCTGGTTACAACATGGTTGATGCGCGCTATTGACTGACGGGACCCTGATCATTGACCACGCCATACAAACAACCTACTTTTCTCTTTTCAGCAATGTCGGAGACCAGCGATGCGCCGAATGCCCCGCCAGCGCAACATGCGCTAGGTATACCGCGACCCCCCTCCGTGGGCGGAATATCGTCGCGAGTCACCGATATGGCTTCGGACGACGGAGAGAATTCCCAAGCCTTCACTGCTATGTCATCACAACCTCCACGCTCGCGACCGTCTGTATCCCGACGAGTCCCTCCACCCGCAAGGAGTTCCATCACAACCACGAGTCAGACGACGACAAGGCCCGGAAGCTCTGGCAGTCGACTGAGTCGATCTCATATTCCTTCCTTAACGGCGCAGGGCTTCTTTCGTCCGATGTCATCCCAGCGACTTCAGGCCCATAGAGGTCGTCCGATGACGAAAGGAACCACGACGGACACTTCAGAAGAATGGGGCGAGCACGGAAGCCAGAACCGGCAGAGTCTAGTCTCGAATAGCACCGCGCATCGAGATTCTCTCCCGCCCATAGATCAAGAGCCCCCGCCTTCAAGAGGCACCGAATTCACAGACCCTATCATCCCCGACCGTACGGCGTCGAATGCTAGCCCGATGGGCAATACGACGGGGAGGAGCATAGGCGAGAGTGCAAAGCTTATCCACGATAGGGAGAGGGCTTACAAGCTCAAGCCGCCACATCTCAACCTAGGCGTGGACCACGGCAGTCCGAATGCTCCCGATGCCCCTCAAAGATCGCCTCTCTCCTTTCTCTCGCTGCAGAACAGGAACCATGTGCAAGAAGCTCGTGATCGCGCGCACGAGAGGCTGTCTTCTGCCGGGTCGACACCTGCGTCGCTTGAGAAGCAGCCCCCAACCACTAAGCGTAGTCGACTGGGGAAGAACTATGAGTACTTTGTCGGCAACACGATATTTTTTGGCGGCGGGAGGTTGCAGAACTCAAGGGACAAGCCCGTCAATATTGCTACTGGAATATTCGTGGTCGTGCCCTCGGCACTGTTCTTCGCATATTCGTAAGAAATCCTGGCTCTTGAGTATCCTGATATAGTCTTGACTGACAGCGATGCGCATAGGGCCCCCTGGCTTTGGCATCATATCTCCCCTGCCATCCCGATTTTGTTTGCCTACCTCTTCTATTTATGCTTTTCGTCGTTTATCCATGCTTCGGTGGTTGATCCCGGGGTAAGAGTCTTTCCAGGACACGCTACACTTTCGTATGCTGATTTGTTGTTCCAGATAATTCCACGAAATCTTCACCAGCTGCCTCCACCAGACCCTTCAGTGGATCCGCTGGCAGTAGGCCCGCCAACTAATGACTGGGTGATGGTCAAATTGGCGACTTCCGACGTCGCAGCCATGGATGTCCCCGTCAAATACTGTGAGACTTGCTGTATCTGGCGGCCGCCGCGCTGCTACCACTGCCGGGTGTGTGATAACTGCATCGAAACCCTGGATCATCATTGTGTCTGGCTCAACAACTGTGTGGGCCGGCGCAACTATCGCTACTTTTTAACCTTCGTGGCATCCTCCACACTACTTGCATTATTCCTACTCGGTGCCAGTCTCGCCCACATCATGGTATACCGCAACCAGGAACATATTAGTTTCGGCTCGGCGATTGACAAATGGAGAGTGCCTTGGGCCATGGTGCTGTATGGCGCAATTGCTGCGCCGTATCCTGCTTCCCTATGGACGTATCACATCTTCCTGGTTGGCCGGGGCGAGACAACGAGAGAATACTTGAACTCTCACAAGTTTGCCAAGGCTGATCGTCATCGTCCCTTCACGCAAGGCAATGCTATCCGAAATTGGCTGTCCGTGCTCTTGCGACCGCGACCCCCGACCTACATGCAGTTTAAGAGAACTTACAACGCGGGTGACCAGCGCTTGAGCACTGTAAAGCGCAAGTACCTTCCTCGCCATGTTGAGCGTCAGCCCGACATTGAGATGCAGCGAGTCCCTTCTTCGCAACCTCATGAATGAGGCATTCATCTATGACTCTGCGTTTTGCCTTGGTCCCGTCGGCTCCATGTTCTTTTTTTTTTTTTTTTTTTTTTTTTTTTTTTTTTTTTTTTTTTTTCATGACACAACTTACAGTCCCCCCGTAGGTAGACTGTTCCTTTTTGAATTTCTTTCCCCCCTCAATTTCTTCTCTCTGCCTCAAGACTATTTGCAGATGTAATGCCTGTTGCACCTTTTCCACAGCCCTTCTTTGAATCATCCGGCGTCTTGACTTTCAAGCTTTACATACCCCTTTCCTCCTTCTCTGATATGTCTGGATGCTCGAGCGGGTAGCTCATCTGAAGCATCACTTGGCTATACTTTCTTTGCAAGATATTTTTCCTTGTTGTTTATTCTAGATGCACACCACCTTTACTCACGATGCATATCTCCGCTTACCCGGACCAACTTGATATCACGCGATCTTTAGGGTTATATGTACAATAAGACGAATACATTTGTGCAGGTAGACTACAAACGACTAATGCTTGTCGAAGATGCGATGCACAGAAGCGTCGAAAAAAAAAAGCCATTGGCAAGAAAAAGAGAGAGAGGTGGGCAAGTAATGCCGCCGCATAAGACGTAGTCCGGCGGCATGACATGGAAGTATGTATGTAGTAATGTTGGGATAATGGCTATAAGAAACGTAAAACTCCGCCTGCACGAGAAAGAGTCTGCAGCAGAAAGAGACCGTGGACTAAAATTACGCTGGGAGGGTTTGTTTCTTGAGCCATTTGCATTCCGCGGCGCCGTCCTTTCGGGGCTGGTGAGAGAGAATACCTAATATAAGACGGATAACTCCTCCTCGAACCCTCTCCGCACCTCCTCTTCCTCCTTTCCCTCGCCCTCGTCCTCGCCCTTTTCCCTCCCCCCATCCAAGCCCTCCGCCGTTTCTACCAGCTGGGATTTCTGCGCCGTGGTTCTTTCTTGCGGGATTTATCATGATCCGGGCGATATTTGAGTTCTGATACGGTTCACTCCTGGTGACAAGGCCTCCATCAACCCGAATCAGTCACGCATCTTCCCCGTACACAGCCTACCTCAGGTCAGAACCAGTTTGGATTTGACTCATTCTGCTTGCGGACCGTCAATCTCTCTCGCAAGCGCTAACTTGTTGATCTTTACTTAGTACCCTTGACTTTGGTATACTCACCGCATACCGATTCTCCCCCAAGATTCTCACCATGGAACGTTCAACTGGGTTGTCCGGCGCGTCTCCCGCAACACCCGCCACTCTTGCAGACCTCCAGAAGCACACCCATGACCATGCAGACACTTCAATGACATTCGAGTACACCGAACAACTTCTCACCCCCGAGAACAGTCGCTCCGAGACCTCAAGCAACAATGAGAACGCGTCCCACGAAGAGAAACCGACTCAACGCCGACGATCAACACGTGTAACACGCGCTTCGCTGCGGGGGGGACTCCGACCAGACGATCTGGTCGGGGCGGGTAAACACAATGGCTCATCTCTCGAAGACGAGAACGATCAATCACTTCCCGGTCATGGTGAACCCTCCGTTGCGGAGAAGCCGAAGCGATCATCCTCTTCCTCCGCCTCCCACCTCCGCCACAGCATAGCGGTAATGGAAACAACCCTCTGGGCCGACGAGCAGTCGAGCCTTGGCAATCACCCCATGACCCCGGAGACGCAGGCTTCCGAGAAATCGTCACAGGAGCCGCCGGCCGAGGACGTTACCACGTCTGTGCAGCGACGGAGTCTCCGCAAGCGCGTGGAGCAGGTGCTGGCCCAGGACGAGAAGAAGGCGCAGGAGAAGGTTACAACCATCGTGGAAGCTGTCAAGGAGAGCAGTCCTAAGCCCACCCGACGCTCCTCACGGCTGAGCCTCTTGGAGAAGGCGTCGGACTTGGTGGACCGGGCGACCAGCGTCCTGGGAAAGCGCTCGCGTGATCAGACGGAAAAGGGCAAAGACAGCGGCGAGCGTCGGTCCGGACTACGACCGCGCAATGTTGTCGCCCCCAGCAAGGAAAAGCAGCCGGTCTCTGCACCTACCAGTGATCCTTTGTCGAAGAAGAGACGGCTCTCGGAAAGTGACTTGCCTGCTGCGGCCAAGGCTGCTGGAAACACCACGCAGGAAGTAACGGCACCTGCACCACCCCCCGTGCCGCGCTTCAAACGCAAGCGCTGGCTGGCTCATGGATTGTACACCGGACAAGAGCGCGAGGATGGACCGCCCAGTCAAAGTCGGAGTAGGAACAGAAGAAAGAGCCAGAATAACAAGAATGAAGCTCCGCCTCAGCGACGGCTGTTACCAATGCCCATGTTTGCGGGAGAAAGACTGCTGCAGCGTGGAAGAGACTTCCAGCTTCCGTTCGATGTTTTCTCGCCGCTGCCCCCTGGTCAACCAAAGCCTGACGAGTGGAGGAAGACTAATAAAAGTACGTACCTTGTCCTCGGTTCTCGCACGAATGTTAATGAGCCGCGAGCTAATTTTGAACATTAGACGTCTTCGTGGGAGATGCTGGGAGCATATGGCGCGCAAACAAGCATATCGACTTGTCGAACTGTAT